GCGTCGATCGCAGTGAGACATATTAGAAGGGTGCAGTATCGTTTGGTCGGATCTCTCGCTGGATCGGCAGAATTTTTGCCGATTCGGTGGATGGAGTTTCGAGAACTCGAACGTCACAAATTTCCGTCGCGGCGAGAGGAGGTCTGCGTGGCGCGGCGAGGTGCGGGTTCCCGAGTTCGATCACGGCTTTGGCTTCCCTTTCTCGAGTGGTTTCCTTTGCATGTGGAGGGGGGTGAGAGAAAAATGTGTGTGAGGTCCTGGATTAGAGTTGGTGCAACCTCTGAGCATTAACTTGGGCATGATCGAATTGATTGAGGAGTCGTCTCATGTCATCGAACCGGGAAGCCTTCACGAATGGGAGATGAATTCATGAATATAGACTCCGTCTGACTTGAGAACTGCATGGGGCACACGATTGGGGGAAAAAAAAGAAGAAAAGCCTGAGGGTTGATTGTGATTGGGATCAATCTTTTGCACTTCCATCTAGTGGCCTAGAGAACTTCAAACGGAACCCTATAGGCCTATATGGTTCCGTGTATGCCCTATAGGTCCTATAGCGAACCCTACAGGTTCTATAGGGAACCTATAGGCCTTATGGGAACCCTATTGGTTCTATAGGGAACTCTATTGGTACAATATGGGAGTCTATAGGTTTTATAGGGAACTCTATAGGTCCCAAACTGAACTCTATGGGGCATATAGGATCCTATCGGATTCCTCTAGGTTCCTATAGGATTCCTATATACAGTATTCCTAATGGAATATATAGGAATCCTATAAGACATTTTCGTAAGGGTTCAGAAAGGAAAATGAGAAGACGATTTTTTTAAATAGGGAACAGAGTGTAAAAAGGGAACAGGCGCTACAGTATTTCATAATTCACAATGAGAGCTGAATTCTATAACAAACATTTTATTATTCAGTTTTTGGTGTTCAAATTTTGAAATTTTATGAAATTAGAAAAATATGAAAGCAAACTAAAATAGAAATGGCAAAAAAATGATCGCGATTGTGATGTACTATAGATGTAGATCCCGTAGATGTATTCTGAGATTTGCTGGTGGACAAAAGATGAGTCCCTTCACAAATGGCGAAATCGCGTTTTTGGTTTATTTGAGCGAAGGCAAACGACACTTGATATTACGAAATTATCCTGCCAACCGGCAGGATTCCGTCTTCTCGCGCTGACGGCCTCCTAAGTGAATATCGCCCGATTCTGTCCCTATTTGTAATCGACTTGCCATCCACCCCCGGTGGATGCAGGTGGGTTGCAGGTGGAATTTTTTTTGAGGGTAGACATGAAATAGGAAAAAAAGGCCCTGAAACGCAAAAATAACCAGCTGCAAAAGAGCCATCCTTCAGGAGTTGGGAAAAAAGTAATTTTAAAATCCAGCATTTGCACATTTGTTAAAAATTTGGTCAATTGGACCAAAGCATTTTATTTATTCACTTAAGTGAATTTCAGATTGTCTGACATTTACCAGCCTCCTGACGGGCTGATGGAAGGAAGAACGAATCGCATTTTCTTTGAGTGCATTTTGCCATTTGCTAACTGCTGGAAGTTTTTGGTTTGCCATCTCCAAGGCCTTCGGAATTGCATAGTCTTAGCCGTGCACTAATAAAAAAATAAAGCGTCCACTGAACCCGCTTGACCGGAAAGGGTTAGCGGCAAATTTTTTTCACGGCCGAATTCCAGTCATTGGTGCAACGACTTCCGGACATCTTGGCATGGAATGATGATTCATGATGCATAGTTACATTGTTTGCAACTGCAATGTTGCATAGTTTCCATATTATAACTGTCTGAACATGAGAAGACACTTTATACCTCGTACTAACCCTATATGTGAGACTTTTGAATGCCAGAAAAATCTTTTACATCTGAGCTGCTTTCTGCAGCGATCGCTGTGCCATTGTGATTTGCCGTTCTCCCAGGGATCTAAGAACTTATCTACCTGCTTCGGGCTCTGGGAGATGGAGGACAACGCGATGATTAACATGAACTACCGACCCTTGTGCCCTCCAACATCTTCAACGAGGTCTGTTGCTGGATACTCTTCAGCATCATAAAGAACATTCAATGGCTTAACTCATGCCCATCTTCACCTTGGACGTGAGGAACAAAGGAGGGAAAAGAAAATTGTGTCGCCTTCCTCGACCTCTATTCCTTTGGTGTGGCAGGTTGCTGTGTGTTAATGACGAGCTGAAAAACAGTGTTCATCTCAACGGACTCATTTTTACGCGCTGCATCGGAGTGATATCCTTCGGATAAAGTCCCTATTAATGCCCACATATCGCATGCAGATTCAATGTAGCACAAACTGAAAACAGACAATGAATTCATTCAATACCTTAAGGGTAGGTATGAAATGAAAAATAATATCAATACGTGAAAACTTGGAAAACAAAAGCTGAAGTGAAAAAAGTACTGAAATGCGATAAATTAAAGAAGGTAATTCCGTTGAAAATTATGGATTTCCTTCACATGGATGAAAATAATTGAGTGATTCTAAAATTCTGATGGAATCGTAGCGAATTTCCTCGGGCTTCTTTAGTACTGAAATGTTATGAGATGTTATGCAGAAGAGAAAAGGAAATGAAAATGTCCCGAATTGAATGGCTTCGGAGACCTCCACATCCATCTCCCAACTTCAAATCGCCTTCAAAGTAGTTTAGCAGCCATTTTTGTATTTTCTTCCAATCCACTGCTCACGATGTGTATCTCCAAGGCCATTCAACGCGAGGTGAAGCAATGACACTCTGTGGACCGGTATTATTGGCCAACGAGGGAATGAAGGTGGATTAAGCTCCCCCGATCTGCTCGAGGATGAAGTCGTTGAAGTACGGGACCTCCGCCCAGACGGCGGGTCGCTCGGGTATGCCGCATTCCTGGGGGCCCCATGACGTGGATCCGAACAGGTATCGGCCGCCATCGTCAGCATCGCACACCATGGGTCCGCCTGAATCACCCTACAATCACATAATCAACAGAAAATTTTGTCATCGCTTTTCTTCTCTCTGCTCGACTCAGGGATTATTATTAATATATACCAAACGACGTCTCCATGTTGTAGCAATTGGCACTGAATCATATTATTCAAGAAAAAATATAGGGAAAGTATTTCAGTTCTTTGACTGTATTTGGAAGTGGAATCCAATGTCTTGATTGGATTATGGTTGACCCAGAATATATGTAAAATGTTTTCCGCGGATGGCTGGAAATGCTGAAGAATTTCGAACATTTTTCTGATTTTTGGCCTGTGGTCCACCGATTAAACCATTAACAGGCTTTTTGTTTTAAGGAAAATTATTATGTAGTTATTAATTTTTTTTAATGAAAAAGAATATATATATACTGATATTTCCCATTTCTTATTATTCCGCTTAGGCAATAAAAGATATCTATCATGCTGTATCTTTGACAATGTTCCTGAAGCTTAAAACTACGTAGGCTTCTTGCCGCATGAAAAGGATATTTTATACGAGGAAGAAAATTTCTTCTCAATCCCATGTTACTTTCTCCCTGAGGAAAAAAAAACTCCATTTCGGTATTAGTGCTTATAGATCCAAAAAAAAAACATTCTATTCCACGGTAAATTTTCTCCAATGTTTAAAACAACATTAACACCAGCCAATTCAGTCCCGGCCTTGCTTTAATTTAACTGGACCGCTGGTATTCACTGCGAATCCATCTGAATTCTGTCCAATTTCGTGACTCCGCCTTCCAATGATTAATTAACTCTCTTACATAGCAGACTGTGTGGAATCCTTCCTCGACCCCGGCACAGATGTTCTGCTCAGGAATCGGGCTGCTGGGGTCCGGCGCCCACATCTCCATGCACGTGTCGTCGTCGATGAAGTCGATGTCCACGTACAGGAGGTCGTCGCTGGTTCCGCCAGTCCAGGACGTCGATCCCCAACCGGATGCTGTGCACGCCCCTATTCACGCCCAACCGCGGAATTTCATCACGGATTAGCAACATTACGTACTCGATGGACAGATTCCATCTGACTTCTCCAAATCCTATCGTTTTCATTATGGCATATCTTTTTTTTTTAATGCTCAGGTCCCTTCTTCGCCTTTATGCGCCAGTCAAAATTACGTCATGAATCTCGATTGCTTAATATTTCTCTGCATTACAGGTAAATTCAGATAATCTCAGATAATGAGAGTCT